GTCTCGAGAACTATGAAGATAGTACTTGAGCAATATTTTCTTTTCTTTTTTTTCTCTTTGTTTTTGTTTTCTTTTATATGTTTATTATCTTATATATATAGTATATACTGTAGAGTAATACAGTTCTTTATATATAGTATTTTTATTTTTATTTTTCTTTTTCGCTATACAGAAGGGTATTATCAGTTTGGTAATATTTAACTGTATAGGTAAGAAGTCATGATGAGCTAGGTAGTCTCATATAGTAATACTGATAAGGAAGAGATAAACTAGTCTAGACTCTAGGTTGAATTAAAACTGCATTATAGCAGGTCATGAATAGGTACTTTTGTGATAACTGGTTGAGTCTTACCATTGATGTTTACACTTTAATGTATACTGCCTTCTTTGGTTGTTAAGTTAGACATTTGTAACCCTTGTAGTTTTATAATTACATTGAATAAATGATAAAGCATAGCTTGTTAAAAAGGAAAAAAAAAAAGAAAATTACTTAATTTACATGTGTATTTATATATGATATTAATTTTTAAATTTATGTAAATGAAATAAAATAATTTTTATAAAAATAAAATCTGATTAAGATTAGAGTTAGAATAAGGTCTAGGATTTTAGCAAGATATATACAATAGTTTATACCAAAATTTGACAAAAAATTTTTTTTATTAGAAGCTCAAATATAGTTTCTTAGGCAAAATTTTGAGATATTTATCATATATGTATATATATACTCGTATACAAATAGTAATTGCTTATAAAAAAAAATATATTTATAAAAAATTATTTAAAATTTATTAAAATTTTGTATTATATAAAACTTTGTATTATGAACAATTTTACTTAATATACTAAAATCAAATTACTTAGTAAAAAAGATCAATTTTAACATGTTATAATAATTTCTTATAAGAAGACTAAATTATAAACCTGATTTCTTTATTTAAATAAAGATATTTTGTGATCTAATGATCAAAATCAGATTATTTTTATACTACAGTATTCAATTCATCTCAATAAGATAAATCTAATAGTATATTTAGCAAGAGTGCTATATATAGATAGTAATTTAGAGAATTACTAACGATATATAACACCTTTAAAATTTTTCTGATGATAGCATTTCCTGAAGTTTTTGAAATTGAACCAAAAGTATAAGAATAATATCCATTCTGCACAATCAGCATAATAAGTTACGAATGAATAGGAGAACAATACAAATATTGTATATGCGTGGTTTAGCTCCAGCCGTTAACTTTGTGAAGTGGAAAGAATTAATTTAAACATCAATGATAGTTTGGTTTTAATGAAAGTAAGATCATTATTAAACTTTATCATGCGAATTTATTTATTAGATACGAGGTCTTTAATTCTGTCTCTTGTTTATCAAAAGTTTTGCCCATGCTTTTATACATTTCATTCAATAAGAAAAGTATATCCTTTCTAGAACTTATACTTACGCAAGAGGTTTCGTGCTATCACTATCCTCATGCTAATATGCACACAGCCTTACAGATTTAAGCAAAGAGGCTTTAACTATCGTTATTACTAAATATGTACAGATTCTTGATCTTACCCGTATTAGAGAAGTTACGATTTTTAAATCACAACAGTATGTACTCTACCCTTAATAAATACCTGACGAAAAATCACTAAAAGATTCACAAAGCTTTATTTCGCGAACTGATTGTGATATTATTTCTGTTCTTTCATGAACCTATTAACATAAACTTGGGAACTCCTAAAGTAGATTGCTTTCCAACTTCGAGAATTGAGAATTGAAACCAATCTGAATACTCAAAATAATACAGTTGTCAAGAATAAACGGATCAGAATTAATTCGTTCACGCGCTCTTGTTATATTATGTAAGATTCAAAGACGTTCCAATTTGCTATGTGGAAGTGGTTGCCATCTACATAGCACAAAATGTAATAATAGAGATAATTCATTAATTATACGTATATACGCAATAATAGTTTATCTATAAAATTTTGTTTCGAATAGTTTATTTTCACTTATCGTTATGTCATTTTTAAGTTAATTTGGTATCCGCTTAAGTAGTATTCCGAATCCACATATAACATAATAACCGTATATTTGATATCGTAATCAGTATATTGCCCTGCCTACTGGAACTTGCCTGTGAATTTCGGCTCGTATCTTACAGTTTACAAGTTTAACTTTTGTTGGCTATTATTGTTACACAATTGTATTATACAATACCAATTTATATGGTATAATTGTAATTATACAATACTATCGTACCAATTATACAGTTATACAATGCATATTCGATATTTTTACCATGGTACAGCATATTAACGCCCATCCCTAGGATATCGATATCATATACATAAATGGGGCATGTTTATCCGTGGGAAATTTTCCTTTGGTGACACATATGTAGGATAAAAGTTTAAAAAACTTTTAATAATTAGATTCTCTTAAATTGAAAAAAATAATTCGTCGAATTCTCTCACGTGTTTGTACGTTTCTACTAAGTTACGTGTTTTCTTTTTTTTTTTTTTTTTTTTAGAAATTTAATTCTGATTTTACTTGGTTATAAATGTTATTAAATACATGATATCATTGTCATCTTTACATCGCGCGAGCAGATGAAATATGTTTATGTACAGTATATATTATTTTTTTTACAGTACAGTGTGATTAATTAAAGTAATTTATTTTTCCGAACATTAAAATAAATTATTTAAATCACTAACTGCCGTGTGCGAAAAGAATTTACCACATTTGGAGGGTTGTATCCGAGTCTAATCAATTAAATTTAAAAAAAGACTAATTAATTATCGTTATCATTACAGCATTATCGTTAGTGGTTGACATATCGATATCGATATAATTTATTTAGTTGAACTACTTTTTAATATTCTATTTCATATTAATGTTCGATGAATAGCGATAGTCAAAGTAAAAATACAAGTTTAGAGCTAGTTTTAATACAAATAAAATAAAAGTATTTTATGTATCGTCGTATCGATAAAACAAACTATTTCTATATATCGATGAGTACCGCCAAAAACCTGTCAATAACAGGTATTATACTAATTAGTCATTAATATGTATAAATTTATCAATACGTATCGTAGCACATGATGTACATGATGATAAAATTTCCTTTTGGAATACAATATACTTTCTAAATTACATGTATAAATAACAATTTTTCCCTAGCGCTAGAGACTTTTACACTCTAACAAGAAAAACAAATATGCAAATACGACCACAAGAATCCCTTGAACAAGGTAAAAGTAAAATATTATTTATTTATTTATTAATTAATTTATTCAAATTTTCGTTTCTACAGATTACCAGGAAGTGTCTGATGAAATTGAGAGCACGCAAAATAGCGATGGTTATTCGATCATATCAAGCGCTGATCACAGTACATTCACAAGCCGTTCAAATAGTCCCGCCATTCATTTGAATAATTCTCAATCTACAAATCATTTGTTAGAACAAGAGTTAAGCACTATCAATAATCAACGCACTGAGAGTGATATAAATTTATTTCAACATAACAATGATCAAGCTGCGGTCTTCTCCCAAGATCAAAATAAACATGACCAGGGTCAAGCTGCAAGTCACCCCGAAGATCAAAGTTTAAATGCTACGTATTCCTCATCTACGTTAAAGGACACTAAAGAAAAATTTGTTCCAAATAATGATCAACTTACGAACTCGAATAATTTCACAACCGAAGAAATTGGATCTTCATCTCATGCTAATTCCACATCTACCTCTGCACAGACAGGATCAAATGATGACATGGTTTCAAACAATTTCGACCAAATGATGAACATTTTGTCTGAATTTGGTGAGACTCAGAATGAAACCTCAACTACAGACTTGACAGATCAGACAGATCAAATAGATGATCCTTCAAAAACAGCTGACAATATATGTGCTCATGGGAGTGTAGATGCTGATTATAAGAAACATATTCGTGCTGCAATTGAAACCTATAAATATTTTAACAAAGATCCAAGTATCAATATTACCTATAAAAAAGATCTTGCTGAATATATCCCTGGTTTATATCGTTTATTGGATTTGTGTAAAGATGATGGATCTAATGGACTCGGTATTTAGATTATTTATTAATATATCTAATTATCAAAATTCAATTATTTATTATCTAATCTTATTTGTCAATCTCTTTTCTTGCAAGTTGATAAAATTATCATTTCTAAGGATTCTCTCAAAAAACTTTGTAATGATATGGTACCACATAGTTTTATCTCAATATCAGAAATTGAATATAATCGGTTAAACAACCTTTCAATCCGGCTTATTGGTTGCTATGGAAACCACATTTTAATTGCAAAACTTCTTTTAAATCGTAATATAATAAATCAAAAACTGTTAAGTTATTCCTTCTTATTATCAATGTTATTTATTTATACTGTATTAATAAAATTTTTAAATAATTTTTACTATTGTTAACAGTTTTGAATTACTTACAATGACACGCTCATCTGAGTACAAAGAAAATCAACCGACCCTTCGATCTGGTATCTATTTGCTAATAGTTAATCCTGACGTTGGTTTAGTAATTCATTGGCCTGAAGCTGGATGTTATGAAGAAAATGCTTCATCCCACAAAAAGAAAAATATGACTAACCTTCATAGGTAACGAAATTTATTATTATTATTACCTTTATTATTATTTGATTTCTAATAAAATTATTATTTAATTGTTGAAATTTAGATATCTTACTAAATTGACCGATCAACAAATTTGTTTTATGAGTGAACAAGATCTGGAAAATTTCAATTGGGGAGTGGAAAATGAAGAGCAAGATTCAGATGATGAGGAAAATAATATGTGCTACGAATTTGAAGTTAAAAAAAGTCAAGAAGAACAGGAGAATTTTGAATTGTACCCTGGCTTTACAGTAAAGTAACTTTATTTATTCAATGATTGTCAACAAGTTGATTTCATGTTTAAATATTGTTCATTATTTCTTCCCATGTTCAGATTAATCTTCCTTCTTACGTAAAGAAAGATTTAGAAAATAATAGTAATGGGGAAAGTTTATTGACTCCTATGGGTATTTACAATTCGTTAAATATATGTTTTTTTTTTTTTTTTTTTTTTTTTTTTTTTTGCCATGAACGTGCCACATTTCTCACACGTTTATTTGGTAACTTTTTTCAGTTATCGAATCTGCTTACAATCAAACTTTCATCACGCAAAAAAAGATTACTTCGGCTTTCACTATACGGAAATTAACTTTTAGCACGCTAAAAGATTCTTTTAAGAAAGAACTCCAATCTCGTATGCAAGATTGTGCTTTGGAAATTAATCGTAAAATGAGTATGAAAGCTTTAGAATTTTTAGTCATAAACGGGTTGGGCCAAGAAAATGAGCTTTTGGGTCCGTTTCGAGATGCCATCACTTTGGCAAAAAAAGAAAACGATTTAAAAAAAGAAAGTGAAAAGAATAGCATAAAAACCGATGCTGAATATGTTACAGCTATGTCACGCGAAAAATTGAAAGAATTATATAGGTATAAAAAAAATAACTATTTTTTTTTTTTTTTACTTGTTTTATTGTATTAATACACTATATTATTTTGAACTTTCACAATAATTACCTTTTTTTTTTTTTTTAATTCATTTAATATAGTCAATTTGAACTTAAATATAGCAAAACATCATTGGAAACTTTGAATGTCCAACTTAATGATTCTGGTACAAAATATTTTTTCATTATGCAGTATATATATATATATATATAAAATATTTATTCATTCTTCATTTTATTTTGATCTACCCTTACATAGTTATTAAACATATTATCACCAAATATCCTGAAATGCAACAAAAAATTGCGAATGTTGCCAAAATTGATTCTGTTACCTGGAAAAAATTAAAACATCGATACTTCTTTGCAAGATTAATCACAGCTACAGCATGTAAAGAATATACTAAGACTGACAGTTCTAATGATGATAAAGCAGAGATCACTCTTTCTGCCCTTAAAACATTTTACTCTATATTTATGGATAGTGAAATTGATTTGCATAAAGTTGTTAAAAAACACTTTGAAACACAACAAGGAATTTGGAAGATGGTGACATCGTTCTTCTCTTACACTAATTCAAACTCGACCTCGACTTCGAAATTGGATTATAGCCGTATAAATGAAATTTCAATCCGGGCTTCTACAAATAATAAAGATGATTCTAATTTTATTAAAAGCTTATATTCTGAGAGTTGGTTTAGTCAAAATGAAGAAATTAAACAAGGAGTTATCGACGCCTTCTTTCGTGAATATTTAAAATGGAGAAATGATACTTTTATTCCTAATGTTAAAGGAATTTTGCCTAAATCATCTGGTCCTCTGGGTAAAGAAATAGATCGCAAATTTGATGAAGATTTCACTTTGATGAAGCGAGAGTTGGAAAAGCTCGAATTTGAAAAAATATGTAAAAAAATTGAAGAACAATATCAAACAGGGTATGGATTATTAAATTTTTATGTTATTGTCATTTACATAATTTTTAATACTTTGCTTTATATTATACTTAGGCGTAAATTCAAGATATTAGAAATAAGTGGTAATTAAATTTTCAAAGTTTATAGTTTTATAATTTAAAAATCATTACTGACTTGATGGCGCAACCCTTTAACTTTACGAAAGATTCACATTACGGCCCCACAATGCTTATCACTTACGAGGTTGAAACAACACAGCCTGATCAGTTGCAATTTACTATTTACGAAACATCATTGGAGCAATCTGATTCCTTTGAATTACAAGAGAATGAATTACATGTACCTAGACCTAGGTTATTAACAAATGCTCACGGATATACAGGAATATCTTTTCAAATCAATCCTGATGTATACGAACTAAGGTGCATTTTAAAACTTTCAAATTGCTGTTAATTAAAAATAATAATAATAATAATAATAAAATAAATTCATTATTTTTATATTATGAAAATAGGAAAATTGCTCAATTTGAAAATAAAAAATATTTCATTATCTTTTGGAATAAGAAACAACCACGATACGAAATATTCTTTGATAATGCATCACGTCTTAAAACAATATTTCAATCATCTTCACCAAAACCTTCTAGGATATTAAATACAGAAGAGAATTGTCTATTCGCTATTAATGAACCACGAGGTTTGGTCGGCATATATCATACACAAAGCGGAGTGGTAAGTTATAATATACTTTAATATCTTTTTTAATATCATTATAATTAAACTTTTTTAACTT